TACTCCTTGTACCTCCACATCAGTCTGTATTTATGGCTGACACCAGTCAATCATATTACCTTGAGGGGGAACCCAGGCGTATGCATATTCATTACATCATATATATATATATATATATATATATATATATATATAAATATATGCATATATGTATATATTGATGTGGGTGGGAGTTCTATTTTATTGTTGTTCTTTGTTCTGCCTCATTCTTTTTACTCCCCATTTCTCTCTCTCTCATTCTTTGCCTGTTCAAGCATTCCCCACGATGTGCTCACCCCATGTGAGGATGTATGCACTCATTCGAATTTCATTCACACAAATATTTACTCATCTCAAAAGGAAAAGAAAAAGAAATTTTCATTTTTTTTCATTTTCTCATGAAAAAAAAAAATCCATCCTGATTATTGTGACTGACAAGTCAATCTGAATTAATTACATTGTAAATTAATTTTTCACATCTATTTCTAATAAAACTGTCCTTTAAATATCTCGTTATAATTAACACAATTAAACATCTTTATAAACACTTGAATGAAATCTCTATATTAAAAAGAACTGAATGAAAAATGAGTTTTTAGCATACTGAAAAAAAAATTTGTTTGTATTCTAAAAATTCTAGAATATTCAGTTCTGAACAGGCTTTTGTAAAATAAAATTTGTTTGTATTCTAAAAATTCTAGAATATTCAGTTCTGAACAGGCTTTTGTAAAATATATTATAGAAACCCTCTATGTTCTTTTTTATGCTAAGGTTTACTCAACAGAAGACCCGAGAGCCACTCAATGTAAAAGGTTACTGAACGAGGTGTGTGATATGAATATAAGAGGAGGTAGAAAGGAATATAAGATTATGAGAATAAGGAGGATAGATTGAAACTGACCCTTGATAGATTGGTTTATATGTTAGTATTTGGGGAAGCATGAGTCTGTTTCCCACAGTATCGGTTCTTGTAAAAAAGCTGAGTGGAACTTACTCATTAAAAATGGGATATAGAGGAAATGCAGATGGTTTAAATGATATATATGATTTCCACCTGAGGCCCGGGGTAAACTAAGCTGCAGAACTATTGTGAATTACTCGCTTGAAGTTAGAGATATGCAAGTGACAGGCCATTGTTGAGTAATGGATAGCAGCTAAGATTGAGGAATTGGAGAGCTGAGTTCAAATTCCACTTGAGCCCATTACAATCAATTATATACTAATATTCTTGGGAATGGTATGAATCTATCTCTTCTCCCCCAGCTATGGTTAAATAGCAGGACAGACTGGGTCTTATAGCCTTGGGTGGCAACCAGTGTAGGAGAAGGAAAAACTCTGAATTCAAAACCAGCCTTGTAAGGGTTGGGCTCCATCAGGTTATCTTGCTCAGGAAATACAACGGTTACTGTGGCAGCAGTACATGTGGTACCCTGGTTTCATGTGAAAACAGAAGGGGTTAAAAATTGTAGTTAGAAAAATTCTCAATTTGAATTTTGTGCATTAAAAATCAGGAAGAAAGGGATTTTTTTAGTGATCAGGAATGAATGATATAGATAGATATTTCTGATAGATATATAGATAGATAAATCTGTTTTTGTTTTTTTTACAGTGAAAGTCACTCTTTATATGGCTTGGGGACCACACAAGGTAGAGGGTTATAGGAGGCCATTTGTGTTTATATGTGAGGGAGATAACAATTAACCCTAGCCTTGAAGAGGTTAAAATTGTAGTGATTGGGGTAACATTCCATAGGGCAGTGGTTCATGGGAAGAATTTACTCAAGTGGAACTTACTTCACACCAATGGAATATGGAGGGAATGTGGGTGTGGTTTGCTACTATATAAGTGGCATAGCGTGTTCTTGCCATGAAGGTTTGCCTTGGTGGGACCTAAGAATGTAGTTTGTCTGAGCACTTTCTGTGGATGTAGAGGTAGAACAGTGAGCAGTGGGAGAGGGATTGAAGGGTGGAGAATAATTTGTCCCCCATAAGGGCTCGGAGATACTTTTGAATTCTATCAAGGCTGGAGAATGATGTCTTGGCAGCTCCTGCCCAGATATGACAATGGTACTCCATTTTTGGTCTGATCTGTTTCTTGTAAAAGGAGAGGATGGCAGGAGGAGTCAGATTGGTAGAACAGGGTTATATATATATAAAGTGAATGTAGTACTAATAATTTACCTGTAGGAATACATTAGAAATCAGGAAGAAAGAGAATTTTAGCAGTCAGGAATTAATGCAATTTGCAATGTCTTTCTGTGTTTCAATATCAAGGTCCAGTGGCTCCATGTCACTTTTGCAGACATCTTTGAAACAGACCCTTGTGCTGCGTTGCCAGTGACCATTTTCCCATACAGCAGAACATATGACATAATATAATGTACGTGGCTTAACCAGCAAAGACAGTGCTGTCAAATAGGCTGGCTATTTGGGTACAGGTGGGAACTTTATTATTGATGACTTAGTTCACTTAATATTCAAAATGTAACAGATTGTAAAGGTGGACATTTTTTGTCTGAAGTAGAGACTCTAGGTTTTGCTGCTATAAAGCAGTTTGTTGAAAATGCAGGCTCTGCAATCTTACAGTTCATCTTCACTAAATACTTTATAATCATGACCTTGTGAACAGTAGACCATGCCTCCCAGGGAGTTTTTTCAATAACTGGTCAACTTCTGCTCTATGCTATGGTTTCATTCCTGTTTGTGTCTGTGTGAACAAAACTAGGAAAGGCCTGGTGTATATTCAACAAAGATCTTGAAAGCAAGATACTGCATAGAGATAAAATTCTGAGATGTGTACATCTCAAAATACTGCTTCAGTGAGAAAGACAGGTGGTCTGTTGTTTCTGGTACAGGGTTTTTCTTTTTTATTCATGGACCAATTCACCTGACATTGTTTGAGAAAAAGTAAGTAAAATTTGGGTTATCTTTGCTGCTACTTCTGTCTTCTCTCACTACAGGCTAACAGACCAGATCTTCCCTTCAGCCAATTGGAATTTCTCAAACTTGGACCTTTGTACCTGTAAAAAAGGACAGATTTTCCTTGACACCACTATTATTTTAACTACCTTCACTCCTCAGCCATGTTTATTGTTTTAAAAAGCGATGATTAGAATTGTAATAAAACCTAAGCATATGATGAAAGTTAATTTATACATTTTCTTTGTCTTTGAGAATTGACAACAAAAATAAAAAAAATACTATTTATTTATTATTTTGTTTATTGAAATTAGCAAAAAATTGGTTGACTACAATTTAATTCAAAGTTTTAAGGATTTCTTTATAGTTTACAGATTTTAATAATTTAGTAAATGTTTATAAATTTATGAATAAAAAATTGTTTTCATATTTATTTCTTTATAAATTGGTAAATGATAAATATTGCATTGCATTAGTTTCAATTGTATTAGTTCTTGGTGTTGTAAATATAAAATTATTCTTAAAAAACAATCTAGTAAATAAATAGTATTGTATATTTTTGTTGTAAATTCTCAAGAACAAAAAAAAATGTATAAATTCACTTTCATCATATGTTTAGATTTTAGTACAATTCTGAACATGGCTTTTTAAAACAATAAACATTGTTGAGGAATGAAGGTAGTTAAAATAGTAGCAGTGTCAAAGGAAAATACATCCTTTTAACGCTCCTTCTTTGCATGCATGAAGGTCCAGGTTGCCTAGAATTCTGTCTTCAGCTGACTCTCCATCTCTCCTTACTCTAACAGTGACTGTCATTATCTAGAATGTGACCTGACTATATATGCCCATGACTGGAATTCCTTAAATTCCAGACAAATTGCACTTGATCCCAAAAGTTTTATCTTATTTATTTGTACATTTGATTCCTTTTCCCCTACTTCTGTACAGTAGGTGGTTGCTTTGAAATTCTCACATCTGAATTTTACTGGTGTTGTTGTCACAACTGTCCATCATGACTGGTGAAAATTCAGTTTAGATGCTGAAGAACAAAAAAGAACTAAGAAAATAAAGTTTTACCAATTGAGTAACTAAATATTCAGTGTTTTAAAATGTTTCTAATTGGTTGATTTGTTTGTTTGCAGTTGTTGAGGTGAAGCAGCATGTTGGCTGGGTGTCTGCTTGGAAATAGCCAGTGCTGTTGGAATCATTTATAAGGGTAGGAGTGGCACTTTGGCTGCTATTTATTTATTTTTTTCTTCCTGCCAAAAGCTGCATGATGGGGGGATCCTTAATAAGCCAATTGCAGTAAGTAATTAAAATAAAAAAAATGATGTTTTTGAGATGCAGTCAACATTAAATATCAAGATCAAGGACATTTTTTTGGGAATGGTGCTACTTAGAAAAACTTGCACAAATCAATGTCTCAGTTGATCTCCAACATCAGCCAAAATGTTATTTGCAGTTCTCTGCAATTGAAGTTATTGTTATTTCTACTTTTGAAAAAATTGTCAATACCACAAAAAATAAGAAGATTCAGAATCAAATACACAAGAACTAAATAGACTGTTTCAAAAGAAAAATCATGTAGAAGATAACATTTTTCTAAAAGATATATAAGTGTAAAGTAAATTGCTGATACCCACTGAAGAACGAACAGACAGGTCCCTACATCAATGAGCAGCCATGTTGTTTTGTTCATATATTCAACTGACAAATGTTTTTTCATGATGGTATCACCCTACACTTGACATATTACTTTTATGTTTTCCTTTATCAAAATATAAAAATGGTAGCATTTAAAACCAATGTAAAAAAATAAAAGAAATTGAAAAGACTAAATGGAAAAACAAAAATGAAAAGACTGAATAAAAAAACTGAATAAAAGAAATTGAAAATGAAAAGACTGAATAAAAGCTTTAAGACAGAAATTGGCATCACCCATAAACATTAATGACCTGAAATATTGTTCGTTGTTTTGTTTTCTCGAATTTTTTGTGTAAATAAGAGAATTTCCAAAATGTTTCTCTTTATAAGACTAAGTTTTTTCTGCCAAAATGTCTACCATTTGATCATCATAAAAATTGTATTCCAGTTTTTTAAAACAATTACAGGGTCAAGCATAAAGAGGGCAAGAGAGAGAGAGAGGGGGGACAGAGAGGGGACAGAGAGGGAGAGAGAGAGAGAGAGAGAGAGAGAGAGAGAGAGAGAGAGAATTGTAACTCAGATGACAACATACTTTCTTTATTATTATTTTTATTGTTTGTTTTTTCTTATTTTTTACTTCACACCCAAGTTTTATTTGGTGGCCATTATTAGTCTAATCACAATGATCCTTCTTCAAAATTCTTTATATAGTTGGTGAATTCCCTGATCTTTGCTTGTATTTAAATCTGGTTGGTTCATTCTTTAAGTGATTTTTCAAGTGTTTTCATTTATCTGACTTTATTTGAATGACAGTTATTTTTGAGGATTTCTGAGAAAGATTTTCATCATCATCACCAACACCATGACTACCGTCATCATCATGTGATCAACACCATTTCCACTACAACTGGTATCATCATCACATTGACACTGACCCCAATCTTCTTCAACTACTTTAGAAGTCCAGCACTTAAGGAGCCCAGAAAACCAACAACAGTGCGGATGATCTTCACTCTTTTTATTGATTACAATTTGCACACTTCATATTTTAAACTATCATAGTTTTCATGTTTATATTCTTTTTTTTATCAAGTACTCTACCGCCTCTGGGGCATGCAATTATCTATGATAATACATGATCCTTCTTCTTTATCTAACACCACAATATCTGGTTTTCTGTTAAGTACTTTATGCTCACACTGAATCATGATATTCCCCAAAAATTATTATTGTTATTAATATTGTTGTTGTTGTAAAAATTGTATTATTTTTTCTGAGTGTTCAAAAGATTTAACTCTGTCCCTTGCATATTATATATATATATATATATATATTATATGTATGTATGTATATATATTATATGTATGTATATATATATATATATATATATATGTATGTATGTATGTATATGTGTGTGTGTGTGTGTATACATATATATATATGTTTGATTTCGGTTCAACATCATCTAATATCAACATTTCTTTCAAAATAAGAAAGGTCATCAACTTATGATTTTTTTTTAGAAAACATGATTTTTTTTTAAAAACTTAAAAAAAATGTTTACTTGGAAAATAAAAATGTTTTTGTAAGCATCTTATGTTTTATTTTTAAAGTGTAAATTTAATCTGCATTACATTTTCTATAAGCAGTTTGTGAAAATAAGGAACTTTGACCTATAAATTAATTGGACGCCATTTATTAACAATTATAATGAACAACAACAACAACAAAAAAAATAATACAAGTTTTTAAATGCATATAAATGTATTTGGAATTTCTTTTTTTGATTATTCAGCAATATTTTTGGGTTTTGGGGTTTTGATTGAAATTGAAATTTAAAAATTATGAAGAATAAAAAAAAATCTTGATAAACAACTATATACTATGATCACTTAACTTGAACCTTGGACATCATCATCAACAATAATTATAATACTCATTACTATAGCTATAATTTCCAGGAAAAAACCGTGTGACTGGTACCATAATGTCATTATCATCATCATGATCATGATCGCCACCACCACCACCAACAACATCAACAACGACAACCACCACCACCACCACAACAACAACAATATCTATTATTGCTATAAATTTACAAACAATAAAATATTAATTTCCAATAACAGCCATGAGACAGTTGGTGGTGACACCGCCACCACCGCCACCACCATGATGATGATCATCGTCATCAATTCAATGATATTGCTGTAACTAAAATAAAAAAAATATTAATAAATTTCCAGTGACAACAATGAGACAGCTGTTGAAAACATTTTAAAAATGCATAAAGTAAAGCAACAAAATCATCATCATCAACAAGATCAGCATCCGCAACAACAACAAAAACAACAGCAATAATAAATAATAAATAACCATCATCATCATCAGCAGCAGTAGCAAGAGTGCTTCTCAGGATACTTAAAAAACGTGTTAGAGATTTGGGAATATGTGCCAGCACTCGACTTCAACCAGTTGGTATGGATGTGTAAGTGTATGGAATATAAATAATAATAAATGTGTTTCTTATCTTTATAATGATGATGAAAATGCTGATAATAGTAACATTAATACAAGAATAGAATTGTAAAGTTTATATCCTTTTCACAGTTGTCTCCCCTTTTTGAACCACAATATTTCCAAAAGTAATATTTTATTTGATTGCAATAGAAAAAGCAATAGCAAGTTTAAATGAATTGAAAGACAAATTCTATCTTGTAACAATTTAATTTACTCAGTAAATATCAAATCAAAATAAAATTTAAACTATGAAACGAGTTAAAACCAAAGCACATTACGATAGGTAATAATAAGTAATATTTCTTTCAAATCAAATTTAACTTTAAATTTTCTAATTTTACTAAAATAACGTGTCAGAAATTTTTTATTTTTAAAATCGATAAATTTTTGTTTGTTTACAAATTTCTTAAAATTTATAAAATGTCCGCGTTTAAGAAATCGAAATTAAATGTGAGATTCCAATGTAATTTCTATATGAAATACACCAGGATTTTTTACTTAATGGAAATCATTAAGCTTTTAATTAAATCTAAAATGAAATCTTCAAGAATGATTTTTTATTTAAAAAAATTCATTTTAGTCTTAGGTATCGAAAATTTATGCCGGAAAAGTGGAGGTACGTTAGATAAGTAATTGGTAGAAGAAAAAAGTGAAGTCAAAAACCGAAACGTATTATTTTTGTTTCATTTATGTAGTCTCGTAATATATTCGATTATTGTTGGTGTTCACTTTCTGGTGTTTGTTTCTGTACAAAAGAAGTTTTCAGACACAACAATTAACTAATTAAGAATACAGAGAAACCGTTTATATTCGAATTACTTCTGTACTGAATGACTTCCCCTTAATTCACGACCATTTTTAGTCTTTTAGTTTTAACTCTTACTTTATTTTATTTTTTTCGAATCACTGCGTCCTTAGTCCTTAGTGTATTTTTTTGTCACAACCTAAGTTAGAAAAATATGAAACAATTGTTAATAAGGCTGATGTGTTTAGATTTTTAAAAAACTAATGAAAAAGAGAATCGTAATTTTTAAATTTAAATGCAAAATATTTTATGAGTCTGTTTCTTTTTTACGATGAAATTCAGCGCAGTGATTCGAGATGTGCCAATATGCCACAAATTATCATTGTCTCTGCTTCAACACAGTGAATTGGAATTCCTATTACCTCTAGTCTAGAATTATAAAAAAAAAAATTCAAATATCACGTGGCGTTCCTGCAAGTCGTGGTGTATCTGTTGGAAGGTCTTTATTACTTATGAATGAAACACCAAAACTGGAAAGAAGAATATAATATAAAAAATATAAATAAACCATATGAATTAAATAAGTATGTTATTGTTAAATAAGAAAATACAAAGAAATGCTACAAACAGGAAAAAACACAGTTGAATTGAAAAAGAAAATCAAGATATTAAAATGTTGGTTTTGTTGGGATTAATGTTTTTTTTTAAATCAGGATTCAGAAGCACGATGAGAACGACCACATCATTACTTTAATTACAAATATAATTATTTATTAGTTTTATTATCAGTAATCCCTGCTGCGACTACCACCATTTCTCGCGTTATCATCTTGTTATCTCCTCTTATTTTCAGTCTTCTCAGAGTTCACTCCCTTGATGCATTCATTGTGAGAGAAGGAGAGGGAGCGTGACTAGACGGTAAAATGAAAATCGATAAATAATTTTTTAAGCAACAAACTTCATACGAATGCTAAAAAATAAAGATTAATAAAAAGAAAAAAAATCTGAAAGTACATCGTTAGTAGACTGAAATGATACCAAATTAAATTCAGTCGATCGTCAAAACGCATGTCTGAAAAAAATATGAAGTTTCGAAAAGAACGAGGCGAAACTTCATATTTTTTTTCTAGATAAAAAAAAGAGTTTTACAGAAATTAAGAGAAAAAAGATTAGTGAAAAAATACTTCTAAAATCTAAAATAATTGGTTTTAATTTTTTTAAACATTACAAACTCTCTCTCTCTCTCTCACTCTCTCTCACTCTCTCTGTTTCTCTCTTTGTGACCTAAATTTTTATTCACCCTCCCTTATTTGTTTTCATTTTTTTTCAATGATCTTTTTAAATTGTGTATATATTGTATGGAGAACTAATGGCTGGGGTCTCACTCTGATGTAACAGACAGGTTTTCAGAGACGTAGGAATGAAAGAAGAAGAAGAAAAAAAGATCATTTTTGTTTTGAATAAAAGTTGATTGTTGAAAAATATAAGTCATATTTTTGTATGTGTATACTTTTTTCTGTGTATATATTTATGAAGTATATTTACAGATATCTATGTTCTTCAGGTGTAGAAGAGGCTGTTGAGGATTTGAATTAACCCACAACAAAGAAAAAACAAAAAAGGTGTTTAAATATAAAAAATATAAGCTATTTTTATTTTCGTGTTTTTTTTTTTGCAACTAAATTTTTCTTAGCCTGTATGAGTATTTAAAGTTCTTACAGGACTTGATTGTAGGTGTCTGTTAAGATGAAAAGAAATGTAATTTTTTCGCATGTATGGATGTATGTATGAGAAAGAAGTGGAAAGTGAAGAGGAAAGTCTCACATAGCTTGGTGAAGAAGACGAGTGAAGGAGTAAGGAAAATTTTCTTTTAAGCCTAATCGTTGCCGTCTGAGACAGAGTACAACAGACGACTTTGTCGGTAAATTTTCATTTTAACACCCGAGCGTCATTTACTGCTGAACTATTTTCTTTCAGGAATTAGTACGCGTTTCCGTAAAGCGATTTTTTTTGTACTTAATTTAAGAATAAAGTTAACTTTCAAATATATGTAAACACCGACAAATAAAAGAATAACAAAAGAAAAAAAAAACACCTAACTCAAATTTGAAAGTTAACTTTCTTCTTTAAAAAAAAAGAATAACCAAAAAAAAAAACAAACAAAAAAACACCTAACCCTAATTTGAAAGTTAACTTTCTTCTTTAAAAAAAAGAATACCCCCCAAAAAAAAACCAAAAAACACCTAACCCTAATTTGAAAGTTAACTTTCTTCTTTAAAAAAAAAGAATAACAAAAAAAAAACAAAAACAAAACAAAACAAAAAAAAAATACCTAACTCTAATTTGAAAGTTAACAAACTACAAGGAATTACTGTGAAGGGAGTAAATAGGCCCAAATTGTATACGTCCACCGACAGGATTCAGCACTTAATTACTTATCAATAAGGCGGTAAGGGATGACAAAAAGAGCGAGAAGTTCGATGTTTTTCTGGTCGTTAACATCCAAAATGGTAGGTTTCTTTAATATCTAATTGTTGATTTGAGTTCAGCATATATATTTGCACGGAAATAAGACTATTTTGGAAAAATTTGAAGCGATATTAGCGCTCGGGTGTTAAAATGAAAATTTTCCTTTTTTTTTTATTGTTGGCAGGGAACGTGTTCCGTTGGTTGAAAAATGTTAAATATTTATTTTCAAAGGATTGATTAACCGGAAGAATGCGCAATCCACCAAATCAAAACCATTTTTTTGTCATTTGGTGTTTGACTCTCTTGGTGTTTATTTCCGTCTTCGCTCCGCAAGGTCACCATTTGTTCTAACGTATTTTATTTTTGACATTAAATGTTTACCACTTTTTATGGTGATTTTTCCATACAGAAAAAATATGAGTTTGTTTATTAGGCACACACGAAAGAAGAAATCAATGTGAAATACAAAGAATTTATGTGAAAGGTAAAGAAAAACGTAAATGCTTACTCAAACAAAATATATTTTCGAGTGCCAAATTAAAAATTAGGCTAGAGGTAGAGAGAAATGTCCACGCAAAAGTGGGACTTACATTAGTGAATAAAGATAAAATCGTCTTTGATAAAGGAATATAGCGAGAGTTCACACGTAGATGTTAATGTTCAGGCCGGTGTCAAGAGGTTTGTAGCAAGGGCATAATAATAATAATAATAATAATAATAATAATAATAATAACTCCTTTCAAATTTGGAGGACTGAAGAAGAAGTTAAGAAATTTGCGAGCCTATGTGAGAGTTTTGCCTTTCACAGAAATTAACCGATAAATTAAAGAAAAAGAAGAAGGAAAGAAATTCCGAGGCCAAAGTGAAATTGTTTTTGAACCAATGAAAACCTTGTCTACACAGAAATTAGCCGGTTAGCCAAGAAGAAGAAGGAAAGTAGCGAGCCTCCAAGAAATCCTTTTTGATATAAAATGAGGAGAAAAAAAATTAATTATACAAAATTGCCCGAAATCATGTGAAAAATTTCGTTTTAGTTCCTCGCGACTAGCGTCGAAATACTCGCTATTGTAAATTTACCCGCCAATTAATCTTCGTGGAAGTCTTGACCTGCGTCTTCTTGAAGATAGTTTCAAAAGAACAAGTTATTAGTTTTGCCATGATGTCCCGGTTTCATGTTGGCCACGTGTCATCTCGTAATCTATACCTTTTCTCACTCAGAACTGAAAATGTTAATTTCAGATTTATTAATTGGATGCGCTTGAACCCTATCTGCGTGACTATCCATTGGCAAGGTGTGAATAGATAATCTTTTTCACCGACCGTTGACCTTGTTATATAGGTCAGCAGGCTCACAAATATACCTTTCCAAGTTGTCGCGGGTTTCAAATCCCGTTCACCTGATTGGTGGAAAATAATCCAAAGGATGAATTTATTTTCTCAGAAATTTCGATTTTTCTTACATAACATTATCATAAAACAGGCTTAAAGTCAAGGCTTTTAAAGTCCCGTCCGAACACGTCATTAGTTAATAATACCTTCGCTCTTGGGTTAGGGTTAGGGTTAAGGGGGCCTAAGCTTTGTTCTGGGAGTTACTATTTTGTGGCGTACATCACCACATTTGTCGCGAAGTGTGGACATTTTTCAGTAAATATTTAATATATCCTGGTTCTATGGTGAGTACATATTTCGCATAGAGAAAACGGGGCTATGGTGTCTTGTCCGATGGCTGGTCGCTGGTGTGGGGGTAGTTTCAGCCTTAACCCGTGCTAAAGAAATCAAACGCCCGTTTTTAATACCAGTAGACTTATGAAAGAACTCTTTCATCAGTCTATCAACTAACCTCACTAAGCGGCTATCACGTGACTTTATCTCAACCAAAGGGAGATAATCATCTTTTGTATACGTACTAGTACCCCCTCTCTAAACAGGTTCTTGAACCTCCCACAAGATGTGTCTTCTGTTTGTTGTGATATAAGAAAAAGGTGGGAACATTTTTTGAAGCTACAGTGTAGAAAATGAATATGCATGCAAAGAGTGTACATTAAGGAGAAAGTTTTTGACAATGTACTATAGCATAAAAGTTCCTCTTATAGTAGTGTCATGCTAGAGATCATATGAAAAAAAAACCCTGCAAAAAGATAAGAAGCACTTGGGTCATCTAATATGACACCCAAATCTGCAGCACAACGAAATAAGGATCAAATGCAGGCAGGCTAAAGGAGAGTGACTAAACAAAAATGTGCAGAAATAGAGAGATTGAACAGCACCAACAATGGAGATATGCATAAACAAATAAGGGAACTAACGGGACAGAAGATATGCTCATCAACAGATTGTATAAAATGAAAGGATGGAAAGCTCATATTAGAGAAAAACAATTCTTCAGCGCTGGAGTGAATATATTGGAGAGCTCTTCCACGACGAAAGAGAATAACCACCATTACACAGAACTACCGACGCACCCGGAATTCTAAAAACCGAAGTAGAAGCTGCACTGGCGAAATTGAATAGAAACAAGGCGGTAGGGCCAGACGGAATTGTAACAGAAATGTTACCAGCCTTAGATGACTTTGGCATAGACAAGATCACAGAAATATTATATGAAATCTGCAACAGTGGGGATACACCGGAAGATCTCGGCAGATATATTTTCATAGTACTGCTTAAGAATCCAAGCGCAAACAAATGTGAACTCCACCGAACAATCAACCTAATGAACCATATAACAAAACATATCACCCGTATTCTGATGAATAGAGCGCGCAGCAGAATCAGACCAGAGATAGGACAAGAACAGTGCGGGTTCGTTACAGACACTGGAACAAGGAACGCGATATTCATGCTGAGAATGTTATCAGAAAAGAGCAAAACAAATGCATAAGGACGTGCACGTGCAAAGGTTTTCGACAAAGTACGCCACAAAGATCTGTTGGAACTGCTCAGCAACCTTGATATATTTGGGAAAGATATTAATCAAGATCCTATACTGGCAGAAAACGGACTGCATGCAGATAGAGAATGAGTTCAGCAGATATACAAATAGAAAGGGGCGTAAGGCAAGGATGTGTCTTCTCACCGGACTTATTCAAGCTGTAAAGCGAGGCAATTCTGAGAGAATTGGGAATCCTAACGAGAGTCATCATTAGTGGCCACCATCTTAACAACATAAGATACGCAGATGACACAGTACTGATAGCAGACACGGAAAAGAAATTACAAAACCTCCTACAGAAGGCAGCGAAGGAGAGCGAGAAGAAGGGACTAAGCAAGAAGACATAATGCATGGTCATCAGTAAAAGGATGAGCCCGAAATGCGATTTATAAGTCGAGGATACTAAAATCAAGCAGGCGTGGAAATTTAAATATCTGAGATGGGTTCTGACAGAAGACGGTAAATGCAACGCTGAGATCAGAAGACGTATTTTGATGTCCAAAGATGCATTCCAGAAGCTAAGCAGAGTATTATGAGACAGGAGGATTTCGTTGGTAGCAAAGAAAAGAGTACTGAACTTCTACGTGACATTTGTCCTCCTTTACGGCAGCGAATGTTGGACGATCTCCTCAAAGATGAAGAAAAGACTCGAGGCAACGGAGGTATAGTTCTACAGAAGGATGCTAAGGATATCATGGACCGAGCGTGTGAGGAACTATGAGGTTTTGGACAGGATACAAACAGGGAGGACGCTTATACTTAACATGATGAAGAGGCAACTAAAATTTCTTGGGCACTTAATGAGAAAGGAAAGCTTGGAGAATCTGCTACTCACAGGACGAATAGAGGGAAAGAGAGACAAGGGAAAGCAACGCGTGACATACCTTGGCGGGCTTAAGCAAGTGGATAGCAGAACAGGGTCTGGGAGAAGTAGCAACGGGTCAAAACTTACTGAGCACTACAATGGGTAGGGTGAAGTGGAGAGCCATGATCGCCTACGTCCTGAGGGGACACGGCACATAAAAGAAGAAGAATGAGATAATTGAAC